AACAATGAGCAAGTACGACCTCCCCCTTTTACAACGTCCGTGAAGCGAGAAAAAACCAACTATCAAAATAAATTTTCTCAGCCCAAATACGACCCCCCCCCTCTCCTGGCGGCCAAATACGACCCCTCCCCTGTTGGGGATTCCCCAACAACGATGTGCTCTGGTTTCTACTCCATTTTTATTTCGCTACACACGACACCATTAAACTTACGACTATGGCACCGTATTCTCCTAACACCATATCCACGGTGTTTGTTTCGTCCTCAGTAAGCTCACTTCTTGCAGGTGAAAACAGTTAACCCGCTCTTCCAGTCAAAGTTCATGTTCTTTGTCAGGAGTCCAGAAGGACAAGAACTAAAATTCGAGGTAGCTTAACTTACCATTTCATTATTATTGGAGATTACTATTATAATTTTAGTGTAACCGTTTGGATGCTGAGCCTTTCCTTTGAAATTTTGGCTGATTTTCAGGCGTTTGATGAAGGTACTCGTCGATCGTTGGGCACACTAACGATACCGTTGAATCAGCTGATGAAAGAGCCAGAAATGGAATATTATCAGCACACGTTCATGCTCACACTTGGAGTTCACCAAAGCCCAATGGTGATCACCGTCAGACTCAGAGTACGCTTTTCCTTATCTTTTTTCGTATTTGGAGTACGCATTTTTTTTCTTTTCCTGAGGTAACGTCCGGTTTGTCGTGATACATCGCAAACATCGGAACGGATGCTAATTCCCTGAAGACTTGATCGTAACCCTTCGGAAAAGCTCGCTTTAACCCATTCCATAACATACAGTTAAACCTAAGGCTACTATCATTGGCCAAATTCCAATGTGCTTACAAATGCGCTTGTTGTGCAGGAAACTTCCCTGAACCTTTTAAACCACTCAATGAAATGGAGTTGTACACGTGCAATTGAGAGTTTCTCCGGTAAGTTTTTGATGTGTAGTAAACACACCCCCCCCCCTTTCTGAAGCCTAACGTACAATCGTGTTCCCTGAGAGTGCTGGGGTGTTTCACGGAGGCTGGGTTTGGTGCGGGTAGAAGCTGGCAGGCGATCACAGTCCAAGAAGAATAGGTTGGCGTCGCGCCAGATCCTTTCTCTCTGAAACGCCACTGCCTCTGTAGCGGACAAGACTGTATGAACCAAATATGTGCAAGTTTTATTAATTCACCATCCATCTCTACGCGTATTAGGCTGCGTTCATACTTAGGCAGCGTCCACCAGCGACCAATAGCGTGCACCAGCGTTCCGAGCATCCGGCAGTGTCAGCGACTAGGAAAGAATGGATATCGTCTAGTGTTCGCCAGCGTCTTTCCAGCGTCTACTAGCGTCCGGGAGAGGAGAGCATGGCGCGATAGGGGAGTAGCAGACAGCTGGTAGAGTATGGGGAGATGGAAAGGTAGCAGAGTGTTAGCAGAAAGTATGGCGCGAGGAGGGTACCAGCTGTCTGCTACCCTCCTATCGCGCCATATTCTCCTTTCCCACACGCTGGTAGACAGCTGGCAGAGCTTGGGAGACGCTGATCAGTACGTACACTTCCCTAGCCCTCGAGACGCTGGTGGACGCTGGAAGACGCTGGCGCACGCTAGTAGACGCTGGCATGTGCTAGATCGATATCTACACTTTCCTTGTCGCGGACGCTGCCAGACGCTCGAAACGTTAGTGGACGCTGATAGACGCTGGTAGACGCTGCCGCAAAGTATAAACGCAGCCTTAATAATATAGCTTTGATACTGAAAGGAATTAAACGAAAATTTGTCATAATATTACTCCTGTGTTGCTGAAGTCACCAATCTGCTACTAACATGACAAACGCTTCGCCTAATAGCCCCTCCAACTTTTGTAGGACTTAAAGGCACAGTGTACGATTGTCTCGCCTCCTTCGCGTATAAGGTATGGAGGTCTATAGCCGTCTAGAGCGCGTCGTTTGCCATAGAATCGCCTAGAAAGTGTTCAACGAAACTGGCACCCAAGGTGGGTTCCAACCAGGGCGCGGGACTTTCGCCCACTTCATGATCGTGGTCAACTTGGATAAGGCAAGCTGAATTGGGAAGTGACGTTTAGGGAAATCCGTAGACACACTCTTTTCATTATGCTCCCGTTGCTGAAAAATAAGGAGATCTTACTTAGGGCGTATTCGGAGTTTTTGCCACGTCATCACGGACGCGCTTCTTACAGTACTGTTCGCTGCGGGCGCTGGGCCATCTCAAAAGAAGGGGGGGGGAGGATGTTGACGCGGCGGCAGTCCGTTTTCCACCACCTGTTGTCGCTTGCCTCTTCAACAGTTATTGGAGGAGAACGAGCTGGCGCCGCGCCACACTCACCCCCTGACACGCCCCAACATCCGCGGCGAACAAAACTGTAGCACAGCCCACCTTTATATTCAAACACCGACACCCTTGTTTTGCTATCGTAGACTGTGCCTTGGGAGTTTCCTTGCCATACGCTGCGCTTCTGATTTCAATTTTGGCTCTGGGCGTGGTTAATGGGTGGTCCTCACCAAATAACCCCATGTTGAAAAATCTTGAAAAAAAGCAAAAATTCCATTTTTTTCATGATCATTGTATAACTGGCGGCTCTTTCTAGGCCATCGTGGCAACGTCGATAAAACTAGACGAGCCCGACGTAAATCAAGAGCTCTGGGGTCGTAGAGTAAATGTCTAATGGCGGCAAACAGCGAGGTTCAATAAGAATCGGTTTGGTCGCAAATTTTACGATTATTGATTTTTGTGCCCAACTGGTGGGACTGATTCGGTTTTTTCTGGGTTTTTCTTTCTCTTATCTACTTTTCTGCTTCGGGTAGTTAGCGCTTTCATGACAGCTTTACTCTTTACTTGTGGGTCCTGTTTGGTTCTAGTCATTGGTGCCATGACTGATATAACCTCTATTTATCTTTCCGACTTTGTGAAAGAATTTTCCTTAGCGAAATTTGTTTCATTTATTATGGCTTGCTAATTGCAATAGTGGTAGCAGCTTTACCCTTTGGCTTTAATTCCATGTAATAAATCACGCCAAATAAAAGCTTCAGAAGAAATCTGTCAGAAACAGGATTATATCGCTCTTAAAGCTCAGTGCTTCCAGCAGACCACATTATAGCTCACAAAAGCCGTTGCTGAGAGGCTGAGAGACAGCGCTCGTAGCGCGATAGTGCCCTCGCCTAGAAAGTGTGAGGTGCGGGTCTTGGTTCCGGCCTGGAGTAAGGATTTTGACCCATAACTCGTTAAGTTTCCCGTTTCATTACAATAATTAAAATCTGTAAAGCAGC